GAGGCCTCTTGGGCCCTCTTGGGGCCCTCTAGGGGCCATCTTGGAGGCCACTTGGGCCATCATGGGGCTCTCTTGGGGGCCTCTTGGGCGATCTTGGGGGCTTCTTGGGCCGTCTTGAGCCGTCGGAGAGCCGAAAAGGCGCAAATGCCAAAATCCTTCGGAAAATCAATGATTTTGGCCTCTTCGGACTCTCCTGGAGGACCTCTTGGAGGCCTCTTGGGCCGTCTGGGAGGCCTCTGGGGGGCCTCTTGGGCCGTCTTGGGCCGTCTTGGACTCTCTTGGGCCGTTTTGGAGGCCGTCGTGGACCACCTCGGGCGGACTTGGAGGCCATCTTGGGCCATCGTCGCGATTTTTTGAGGATGTCCCGAGCGAAACGGCCGTTTTTGGGCATTGAGAGATGGGTTTTCGGCAATTTGCGGGTGGCCGGCGGGACGGGCCGAAGCCCACTAGGGAGTTGTTTTAGAAAAAGAACCAAAACAAAACCTGAATCATCCAGCACGCCGTGCACCCCTGCCAGCAGGGGGCGGCGGATCTAGTGGTTTTCGGCCCATCCGGCCACCGCGCCTGAGTTGTAGGTCAGAGGCCTCTTGGACGTTCGTTGAGATATCGTGGCAGGCCTTTCGAGGGTTTCTTTGGAGGCAGTTTTGAGGGCTCTTGGGGGCCGTCGGGGGGGTTCTTGGGGCTTCTGTTTAGGCCTCTTGGGGTCTCTTGCAGGCCTCTCGGGGCCTCATGGGGGCTGCTTGGGGCGGAAGTCTCGAATTGTCGGTTCGTGTTCCCTTTCTTGGGTCCTTCTTGGGGCCCTCTTGGGGCTCTCTTGGGCCGTTCGGGCGTCTCGTGGGCCGTTATGTTGCTGCTGCTGCTACTGTTCCTCCTCCTCCTCCTCCTCCTCCTCCTCCTCCTCCTCCTCCTGCTCCTCCTCGTCCTCCTCCTCGTCGTCCTCCTCCTCCTCCTCCTCCTCCTCCTCCTCCTCCTCCTCGAAGCTTTGCAGGGATTCCTGCATGTCGTCGGGGTTCCTGAAGGTTCGCCCGGGGTCCGCCCCACCCCACTGCGGGAGGAAATATGAGGAGGAAGAGGAGAAAATGGAGGAGAGGGAGGTGGGGCAGGGATATGAGGGAGGGAGGGACGGATAGAAGGAGGTGGAGGCGGAGGATGATGAGGGCGACCACTTCGAGGAGGATGGGGCCAGTCGTGCTTGACATCCCACATCATACACGTTGCCGAATGCATGCGCATGTGGGCCGTTTGGGGGTCGGTGAGGTATGTGCGGTCCTTCCATTATTCATGTCGTTGGTTTTGTTTCAACCTCTCAGAATTCACGCTGACCTCCAGAGCCCCCCACACATTTCCAGGACCATCCCAAGCTCATCCTCATCCAATCGAAATTGGAGGAAAACGCAGTGAAGGATCCAAGGGTGAGGGACGCGAGAAAAACTGAGCGTTGGGGATCTGGGGAGGGGGCATCTCGGAGAGCTCATGGATGCTTCCGGGAGTCTCTTCTGGGAGCATGAAGGAGCTTCTCAGGAGGAGTACTTGTGACCCTCTTGGGAGCCCTTGGAGGCTTCTGGGAAGCTTCTTGGGAGCTCTTGGAGGCCTCGTAGGGGTCTTGGGAGCCCTTGGAAGCTTCGTGGGAGCTTCTTGGGAACTTTGGGAAGCCTCGTGGATGGCTCTGGGTGGGCCCTCTTGGTGGTCTCTTGGGGGGGTCTGCATGGCCTCTTGGGGGCCTCCTGGGAGCTTCCTGGAGGTCTTTTGGGGGCCTCCTGGGGCTTTATTGCGGCCTGTTGGGGGCCTCTTGGGGCTCTCTTCGGGGCTTCGTGGGGCTATTTGGGGCCTTGTAGGAGCCTTTCGGGGGCGTGTTTGGGCGGGAGGCTCAAAATTTCCGTTCAGGTTGCCCTTGTGGACCTCAATCATGGGGCCGTCTTGGGGCTTCTTGGACCGTCTTGAGGGTTTCTTGGGCCTTCTTGGAGCGCTCTTGGGCCGTCTTTGAGCGGTCTTGAGGGTCTTTCGGGCCGTCTTGGGGTGATCTTGGGGGCCTCTTGTACCGCCTTGAAAGGTGTGAAAGACGAAGAGGCGGATATGTTCAAACAGTGCACGTTTTCCTAAGGGAATGGGACGATTTTTGCTTGTGGGAGCCCTCTCGGGACGCCGCTTAGGGACCTCTTGGGGCGTCTTGAAGGCTTGTTGGGCCGTCTTGAGGCCATCGTCCGCGTTTGGGGGTGATATTTTGGCGTCTCCCGACTCTCTTGGACCGTCTGGAGGGTTTCTCGGGCCTCTCTTGGACCGATTTGGAGCCCTCCTGGGCTCCGAAAAAGAGTTCTTGAGGGTTTCTCGGGCCTTCTCGGATCGCTCTTGGGCCGTCTTTGACCGGTCTTGACGGTCTCTCGGGCCGTCTTGGGGTGATCTTGGGGGCCTCTTGGACCGCCTTGAAAGGTATGAAAGAGAGGCGGATATGTTAAAAATGCACGTTGTCCTAAGGGAATGGAGCGATGTTTGCTTGTGGGGGCCCTCTTGGGACGCCGCTTAGGGGCCTCTTAGGAACCTCTTGGGGCGTCTTGAAGGCCTGTTGGGCCGTCTTGAGGCCATCGTAGGCGCTTGGGAGTGATATTTCGGCGTCTCCCGGCTCTCTTGGACCGTCTGGAGGGCTTCTCGGGCCCCTTTTGGACCGATTTGGAGCCATCCTGGGCTCCGAAAAAAAAATGTTGAGGGTTTCTTGGGCCTTCTTGGAGCGCTCTTGGGCCGTCTTTGAGCGGTCTTGAAGGTCTCTCGGGCCGTCTTGGGGTGATCTTGGGGGCCTCTTGGACCGCCTTGAAAGGTGTGAAAGACGAAGAGGCGGATATGTTCAAACAGTGCACGTTTTCCTAAGGGAATGGGACGATTTTTGCTTGTGGGAGCCCTCTCGGGGTGCCGCTTAGGGACCTCTTCGGGCGTCTTGAAGGCCGGTTGGGCCGTCTTGAGGCCATCGCAGGCGCTTGGGAGTGATATTCCGGCGTCTCCCGGCTCTCTTGGACCGTCTGGAGGACCTTGCCGGGGTACTTTTCGTCCGGGGACCCCAGGGCCCGCCCCGCGCGCGCGAACTAGAAATATTGTTGAGCAGTTACCGGAGATCTTAGCACGCCTCTGGCCCGTTGGGCCGGCGAATTTTCTCCACGTTAATGTCGCCGATACATGGCCGACCGATGCATCGCCGATGCGTCGGCTATGCGACGCCATCCTCCGACCCCATCTACTCGGACTTCATTCGGGAGGACTCCAGAGGTTCGTGCGCTTCATGATCCTGTACAACCTGGGGGACCACGCTCGGGTCATTCAGAAATTACGGCGGGCGGGTTTTGCCAATGTTCGGCCTCGGGGGCCCTCGCCAGGCACAAGGACCGCAAATTAGCCTGACGAAGGACCCAACCATTTGCAGCTGCGAGCATCGCGAGGCAGGTGGGGCGAAGGAGGGAGCCATCAAGTGGACTACGGCGTGGATGAGGGTGAGAAAAGCTGACGCGGGCGAGCGGGGAGGGGGGTCGTAAAGGGCGCGGCGGTGCCATGCGGGCGCTGCCACTGGTGCCTTCGGTGGATCTTTCTATGGGGCCCGAGACGTGTGAGGGGCGTGCCGAAACATGCGCGGTGGTGCCATGCTGGCGCTGCCACGGGGGCTTTCGGTGGATCTATCTCTGGGGCCCGCAACATGTGATGACTGTGCCGAAGCGGGCGCGGTGGTGCCATGCGGGCGCCACCATTGGGGCCTTCGGTGGAGCTCCCTCAGGGGCCCGAAACGTGTGAGAGATTACCGAAACGGGCGCGGTGGTGCCATGCGGGCGCTGCCACTGGTGCCTTCGGTGGATCTCTCTATGGGGCCCGAAACGCGTGCCGACACGTGTGCGGTGGTGCCACACGGGCGCTGCCACTGGGGCCTTCGGTGGAGCTCCCAATGGGACTACGAAACGTGTGAGGGGTGTGCCGAAATGGGCGCGGTCGTGCCATGCGTGCGCTGCCACTGGCGCCTCAGGATGAGCCCCTTATGCGGCCACGACGCGCGTGATGGGTGTGCCGAAATGGGCATGCGGAGTGCAGAGGCACGATGCTGCTGATGATGGTGATACTAATGATGATGATGATGATGATGATGATGATGATGATGATGATGATGCTGATGCTGCTGATGATGATGATGATGATGATGATGATGATGACGATGACGATGGCGATGGCGATGGCGATGGCGATGGCGAAGATAATGGTGGTGGTGATGGTGATGCAGATGGTGATGATTCTGATGATTGTGCTGATCATAATGATCATATGGTGACGATGATGACAAGAGTGGTGATGATGGTGCTGATGGTGATGGTGATGGGGATGATGACGGTGATGGTGATGATTATGATGATGATGATGTTGACGATGGTTATGGTGATGATGATGATGATGATGGCCACGATGATGCTGATGATGGTGCTGGTGGTGATGGTGATGAGGATGATGACGGTGATGATGATGATGATGATGATGATGATTATGATAATGACGATGATGATGATGATGATGATGATGATGGTGATGATGATCATGGTGATGGTGATGGTGATGTTGATGGTGATGGTGATGATGATGATGCTGTGGATGATGGTGATGATGATGGTGATGGTGATGGTGATGGTGATGATGATGATGATGATGATGATGATGATGATGATGATGAGGATGGGGATGGCGATGATGATGCCGAAGCGCGTGAGGTGTTTGCCGAAATGGACATGCGGAGAGCAGAGGCACGATGATGACCATGGCGATGATGATAATGTTGATGATGCTGATACTGATGATGTGGATGATTGGGATGGCGATGATGATGGCGATGATGTTGACGATGATGATGACGATGATGATACTGTCGACGAGGACACTGGTGATGATGGCACGCGGAGAGCAGAGACAGGGATGGGAGGAGGAAGGGGAGGAGGTGAGGTGAGGAACGCGGAACGCTGTCTGTTCAAAACGAGGACCCCACACCACAGGATGGCTGAGAACAAAAAACAAGATGAAAAGAAGGTCCCAGGGAATGGGTCGAGACCTCCAGGGTTCGAAGTCATGAAGAAAACATGGCGTCGCGGGTCTGCGTCCCTTGTCATGAGATCTGGGTTTTACATTTTTGTCACGCCTGGCGTTTTCGCCCGGTTGCGGACCACAGCACCATCACAGATCGATCCAGTGAGAAAAATTCCGAAGACAGACGGGGTCTAGGGTTCCAAGCACGATGCTCCTCGATGTTGCATGTTTTCGCGATGTCGGATCTCAAGGAGGCCGTGGCCAAGCGGCTCATTCCTGGCCTGTACACGCAGCTGTTCACTGGCACCATGCTCGGGCTCACGAAGACGGTGAACTACGACGCTTACCTCTACTCAGTGGCCACGCGCCTGCAGCAACTCCTCGCGAAGCAGGCCAAGCTGCGTGGCGTGGCGGCTCCTGCGGCGTCCAGGGACGCGCTGGCGGCCCTGCAGGAGCGGCTGAAAGCCGACCAGCCGCTTGCAGAGGCTCTGGGCTCCACCACCACGCTCGGGATCTGGCACCACCTGGAGCGCACACAGCTTGACGACAAGGCCCTGCTGGAGCGTTTCGCCGAGGGCTCCCAACCCCGGTGGGTGGTCGAGTCGCTGCAGTCGGGGTTCTTGGGCGATGTCGAGGTGCTCGGGCGCGAGAGCGCCGTGGCCTCTGCCGCGAAAGAGGCAGCCAGGCAGATGCGCGCGCTCACCGAAGCGGTGGACGCGGCTGCCTTCGGCGCCGCGCAGCGCGCCTACGGTGCGGGCGACAGGGGAGCCATGACGCAGGTCCAGAAGGCCGCCGACGCCGCGGCGGCGGCCATGCGCCAGCTGGAGAAGGCCTCCCAGCGGCCCGCCGTGGAGATCGCGGCGGACCGCACCGCCTGGGAGGCCAAGCTCGTGGGGCTGGAGCGCGAGCACGCCGGCGTGCCCGCCGTCGCCGCGGAGCTCCGGAGGCTCCGCGCCGCGGCGGCCTAGGCGCCTCCGCCCGGGCCCCGAGCTCGAGCCCGAGCCCGAGCCTCCTCCTCCTCGCTCCTCCTCCTCCTCCTCCTCCTCCTCCTCCTCCTCCTCCTCTCCTCCTCCTCCTCCTCCTCCTCCTCCTCCTCCTCCTCCTCCTCCTCCTCTCCTCCTCCTCCCTCCTCCTCCTCCTCCTCCTCCTCCTCCTCCTCCTCCTCCTCCTCCTCCTCCTCCTCCCTCCTGCGGTCAGCGGTCAGCGGGCAGGCGCGCGCCCCGATGCCGCAGCGCCCGCGCCCGCGGCGCGGCGCTGCAAGGCCGGCGCCGGCGGCGCCTCCGATTTTGATCGCCATGCGTTTGGCATCGCTCGGACGTGCGTACTCCAGATTTCGTAACAAAAGGGAGGGGGTCTCATTTCGGGGGGGGTCTCTTCCAGGCTATCTTGGAGGGCCTGGGGGGGTCTGGGGACGATGTTTTGGAGGGTTCTCCCAGGGGGGGGGTCTAAAACTTTTCGTCTGGGAGGGTTGAGACCCCCTCCCTTTTATTACGAAGTCTGGAGTATTTTTGTCCGGCGAGGCCAGCGCCAAAACATCTGGACCATTTTGAAGCATCTTGGATCACGTCGAGAAATGAAAAAGCACGCACGTAACCAAACACCGCACGGAGAGTGGACGTCCGAGCGATGGCAGGTGGAGCAAGCGGGTTCACAGGGAAACGGGTCTCGAGGTCTTTCGCGGTTGTCGGGCCCCGGGGCCGCCCGCAAACGGGCCCCGGGGCAATCCACAGCACGGCTCAGGACGAAGAGCTGGTCCTGGGCGGCAGCCCTGAGGGTCGAGTAGGAGATCGACCACAGAATGGTTCACACCGACGGTGACGTGTTCGTCGAATCCACTAGAAAATACGTAGCGCCCCGCAGTTGCGGAGAAGAGTGAGGGGGCGGGCGCGGGGCGGCTCGCGGGTGGGTCGCGGGCGGGTCGCGGGGTGGGTCGCGGGGTGGGTCGCGGGGTGGGTCGCGGGGTGGGTCGCGGGCGGGTCGCGGGCTGGGTCACGAGTGGGATGACGACAACAACCACAACATCATCAACAACATCATCATCAACAACAACAACATTATCATCTTATCGGAGTGGTCGGTGATTCTTTATGCAGCAAGCATGCATCATGATAGCTCCCCCCTTGATGGGGGATATGTTTTTGCACAGGGGGTCCGAAATTCCTTCACCCAGATCTCCCACCCGAGGAGGTTTTGACAACACCTCTTCCGAGGCACCTCCACATCTCCAGCCTGGTTGGCACATCGCCTTTGCAATCGCCCTGCCCAGGTTTTGCTTCTAGGTGTCATTACGCCCGAGTGGCCCAAAACCTTTCGGAGAGGTCCCACAGCCACTTGGAAAGCCCCCAGAGCCCCCTGGATCCCCTTGGAGAGCCCCCACAGAGCCTTTCAGAACTTTCAGTGAAACTTCAACTCCATTGTGAACTGGAGGATTTCGGGGCATCTTGAAGGAGGCATCAGGACATTTTTGGGCAGGCTTGAATCAGAGGACCTTCTGGGTTTCGGGCAAGGAAGAAGACGAGGGAGCAGAAGGGAGAGGACGAGGACGAGGACGAGCAGGAAGGAGGATGGAGAACGAAGGAGGAGGAGGAGGAGGAGGAGGAAAACTAGCAGGAGGAGGAGGAGGAGGAAAAGGAGGAGGAGGAAGAGGATGAAGAGGAGGAGGAGGAGGACAAAAAGGAGGAGGAGGAGGAGGAGGAGGAAGAGGATAACGACGACGACGACGACGACGACGACGGCGACGACGACGGCGACGACGGGGTCGCCGCCGCGGGCTCCCGGGCCGCCCCTGGCACGCGGAGCGCGCCAGGGAGGCGCCGGCGCAGACCTCCGACAGCGCATGTTGCATTCTTGAGGATCTGCACTGCCGACAAGGGAAGCCCCAGGGCCCCTGGGAGTCTCGAGAAGTAAAGGACGCATCGAGCGGTAACGTCGTTGTCTGCAGGAAGGGGGGCCGCGCGCGGCGCCGAGGCGGGGGCGCCCGTCCTAGGTAAAAACTGGGGAGGTATCGAGCAGGAGCGCCAGTTTTGTTGGAGAGCTGGCTTCGGCGGCGGGCAGTGACCCGGTCCCGATTAGAAAGGGATGAAGTGTCAAGCGGGAGCGCTGTTGCTGTTGAGCTCTCACTAGTGAAAACTGATCATTGTTGATCCCCCACTCCAGTGACCGCTGTTGTGTTTTTACGATGTGAAGTGCCCCCCCCGGAGCTCGCATTATGTTTGAATCCTGGAAAGTCACGGGGCTCAAACAGGGCCCTTGGCCCCCAGTTTACAACAACAGCGGCTCCTGCCGGATACTTCCTCGCAATGTATTCCCAAATCGCGCTGTCGCGCACGACTTCCTCACAATTCATGTACGCATCGCGCTATCGCGTGGGACTTGTCCACACCTTATTCAAAAGATGCGCCTTCGGCGCTCAGGAATCGCGCTTTCGCCGTTGTTTCTCTCACGTTTTATTTAGGAATCGCGCTATCGCTTGAGACTTCCTCGCGATTCATGCAGGACCCATGCTTCAGCAACCCGCCCCTCGACCTCGTCGCCTGGGCCCGCCTTCCCAAGCTGCCCGCTATGGGTCTGCCCACCCGATCTGCCCGTCTGGTTATACCAGTTGTTTTCTGCTACTGGCCCCCTCTCCTGCGAATTTCTCTCGTGATCCATTCTTCTCTCTCCCACTTTCACCCGTTTTCTCTTCCCTTGCTTAGGGGCTGCACTACATGCACGTGGCAGGCAAGTAAAATATACCCCCAAGGGGGAACGATCGAAGACGACGAGGGCGATGCCGAGGGTTTGGGCTATTCGTATTGACTAGCACGTGGGAAGACAGGACAGTCTTAAAATAATTGTTTTTGTTGTTGTTGTTGAGCTCTCACTTTTAAAGAATAATTATCGTTGGTCCCCCCCGCCCGGTGCACACTGTATTTTTTCAATTGAAATTCCCGCTTCGGGGGCTCGCACACTGTTGCCTATTAGGGAAAATCTTGAGGCTCAAACTGTGTCGTTGGCCTCCGGTTTACAACAACAACGGTTCCCGCCTGATACTTCCTCACCATGTCTTGAAGAATCGCGTTCTCGCGTGGGACTCGTTGGCAATTTACCACCGAATCGCGGCTCCCGTTGGATATTTCTTGACAGTGTATTGCAGAATCGCGTCTTCGCTGGGGACTTCCTCGCAACTTACCACCGAAACGCTTCGTTTGACATTTCTTCACAATGTATTCTAACGCCGGTCTTCGACACTCAGGAACCGCGATCCCGCTACAGATTGCCTGGCGGTTCAAGCAGGATTCACGCTTCAACGACCCGCCCGCTCGACCCGCCCGTCGGGGCCTGCCCGCCCGACTAGCCCGTTAATGGCTGCAGTCGCCGCTCGCTGCCCTTCGCCCGCCTTCGATGCCCCTTGCTGCCCGTCCTGGTTCCGCGGTCGCCTTCGCTCGGTGCCCTTCGTGGCCCAATTGCTGCCCTCAGTGGCTCCGTCGCTGCCTCTTGTGGCCACGCATTATATGCCCTTCGTGGCCCCCGCTCGCACGCGCCCGTCGTGGCCCCATACGCATGCCCTTCGTAGCCCCGCTGTCGCCCTTCGTGGCTCCCTCGCTGCCCTTCGTGGCCCCTTTGCTGCCCTCAGTGGCCTCGCTGTCGCCCTTTGCGGCCCCGTATACGAATGCTCTTCGTGGCCCCCGCTCGCTCGCGCCCGTCGTGGCCCTATATGCATGCCCTTCGTGGCCCCGCTGTCGCCCTTTGTGGCCCCTTCGCTGCCCTTCGTGGCCCCGGTGCTGCCCTCAGCGGCCCCGTCGCTGCCTTCTGTGGCCTCGGATGTTATGCCTTTCGTGGCCCACGCTGGCTGTCTCACGATTTGCTCAGAAATCGCGCTATCGCTTGAGACTTCCTCGCGATTCATGCAGGACCCACGCTTCAGCAACCCGCCTGCTCGACCTCGTCGCCTGGGCCCGCCGTCCCGACCTGCCCGCTATGGGTCTGCCCACCCGACCTGCCGTGGTTATACCATTTGTTTTCTGCTCCCCCCTCCTGCTAATTTCTCTCGCGTTCCATTATTATCCTCCCCCTTTCGACCCGTCCTCTCTTCCCTTGTTTTAGGGGTTGCACTAAATACGCGTGTAAGGTAAGGAAGATATGCCCCCAAGGGGGTATGATCGAAAACGACGAGGGCGGATACCGAGGGTCTGGGATAGACGTATTGGTTAGCTCGTGAGCAGATAGGAACGAACACTCTTAAAATTGTTGTTGTTGGCTTCTCGCTATTGCCAAATAGGTATTGTTGGTCCCCCCTCTCCAGTGACCATTGTTTTTTTTTGCAATTGCAGTGCTTCACCCTGAGCTCGCACCCTGTTTTTTTTTAAACAAAAAAATCTGGGAAAGTCGCTAGGCTCAAACTGTGCCCCTGCCCCCCCAGGTTACAACAACAACGGCCCCCGCTTCAGATTTCCTTACAATTTAGCCAGGCCCTTCGCTCCCGCCTCAGATTTCCTCGCATTTTACTCGGGGGTCGCGTTTTCGCTTGGGACTCCCTTGCAATTCATTCCGGACTCGCTCTCTCGGCGCTCTGAACTCGCGCTCTCGCTGGAGACCTGCTTGCAATGTGTTCAACATCGCGCTGTTGCATTGGAGCTCCTTGCAATTTACTCCAGCGCTTCGTCCAGACACTCAGGCACCCAGGAGTCGCGCTCACGCTTAGGATTCCTTCACAGCTGATTTAGGAATCGGGATCTCGTTGCCCTTCGTGGCCCCGCTGCAGCACTTCATTGCCCTTTCGCTGCCCTTCGTGGCCCCTTCGCTGCATTTCGTGGGCCCGTTGCACCCTTCGTGGCCCCCTCGCTGCCCTTCGTGGCCCCGTGGCAGCCCTTCGTGGCCCCCTCGCTGCCCTTCGTGGCCCCGTTGCAGCTCTTCGTGGCCAATTCGCTGCCCTTCGTGGCTCCACATTTTTTATATATATATATATAATATATATATATATATATATATATATATATATATATATATATATATATACTCTTCGTGGCCCCCGCACGTTCGCGCCCGTCGTGGCCCCATATGCGTGCGCTTCGTGGCCCCGTTGTCGCCCTTCGTGGCCCCCTTCGCTGCCTTTTGTGGCCCCGTTGCTGCCGTCAGTGGCCCCGTCCTTGCCTTTTGCACCCCAATATACGTATGCCCTTCGTGGCCCCCGCTCGTTCGCGCCCCTCGTGGCACCATATCGTGGCCCCTTTGTCGCCTTTTGTTACCCCCTCGCTGTCCTACGTGGCCCTGTTGCTACCCTCTGTGGCCCCGTCGTTGCCCTCTGTGGCCCCGCATGATCTGCCCTTCGTGGCCCCCGCTCGTTCGCGCCCGTCGTGGCCGCATACGCGTGCCCTTCGTGGCTCCGCTGTCGCCCTTCGTGGCCCCCTTCCTGCCCTTCGTGGCCCCGCTGTTGCTCTCGCTCCTGGTTTCGCCCGTCGTCGTCTTCGCCGTCGTCGTCGTCGTCGTCGTCGTCGTGGTCGGTCCCCTGTCCGTCCCTTTTGGGGTCGGGTTGCCGCCGATCAGCGCTGCCGCTGGCCAGGCCGACGGTCCGAG